CATTGATATATCTTGCGATTTGCATCTCTATATAATTGACCCCTTTGTTTTCTCATCCAAGCAGGCACCTATTTTATCATATTCAGTTGTTCCATTGTCACCAAATTGAATTTGGCTTTTGACTTGTGCTACTTCATTTTGTATGTTTCAAGAATATACTTTGGATCATCAGAATTTTTTTATTTAGTTTTTATGTATTTAATTCCAGAGAACAGATTTAGTGTATCTCTGAGAAGCCTGCCTCAGTAAAAAAAATAGTTTGTTAAAAGGAGCATGTCATTCATTTCATGCACCTAGGAATACTTTTGCATATATAAAACATGTGATTTTGGCATCATTGAATGATCAAGGTGGGATAATGTGGTTACTAGTTGGTGTTCATAATTAATTTCAGGTGGTTGGCTCAACACAGGAGTCTAACACATTTCTTGGATCTATTCTTACCTCTGTTGAATATCTTAAGCGTATTAATTACAATGGAAAACATATTTAGATTTATGTAATGACAGAAATAAGCTGTAATTATTTCAGATCTAGGAATGCAAACTGGAATGAGGAATATGATTGCTCAAGTTTCTAGGCCATCTGTTAGATCCTCTCTTAAGAGAGGCGCTTCCGAACCACAATCATCCCTTGTGCAGGCTCGTCAGAGGAAGGCTCTAATGAATCATCCAGTCATTCCTCCATCTATTCCAACTTGGACTGGATCGGCTCCTTTAATGCCTAACACAACACAAACAATTTTTCGCTCAAGCCACAAAGCCATACCTCTCACACCTCAAGCCACCGGCTCTACTGTTCACCTGCCCATTTCTACTTGGGTCAATACTGCTTTACCAGCTCCAAACACATCACAGACAATTCCTCCCTTAATCCGTGCAGCTCCATTTCTTCCAGCCCAAGCTTGTGCTGCTATACCACCTCCACACTGTGACAAGAGAATACCATCTGTCCCTTCTAGGTCTCAGATCATATCTCGCCACGCCAACAATTGAGTCGGTCTCTACCCTGCCCACACCAACCACCAATGACTCGGTCTCTACCTCGCCTACGTGGGAGGCCTCCCCCATCATGCCATCTCCACCCAGGGTTGTTCCACCTACACCCAGGGTTCTTCCATCTTCTTTTATCAAACTCAAAGGTACTGTTTTCCTTATTTCTTCTCACAACGTGAGTTTTCATAAATCGAATGATCAATTCCCTTGCATTTTAAATTTCATTTAAGTTTTGGGGAAAATGGATTTCTTTGGTTTGATTCGTTGTATATACTGAACTGCATCATTTTCCTTGCCTATCCAGTTGAGCAGGCGTCAAAACTAACTCATAACAATAATAAAAGAAGGATGCTGATACATGCCACCTTTGTAATGTGAATTTTGCTTTCATGAAAGGCCTTTACAGATTGTTCTTATGCTATATCTCTTACTCCAAAAAAAAGGGGGGAGAACCATTCACTGGTAGAACTACTTGAGCTGAGAGTTTATATTATGTCATGAAAATGTGACATTTTTCATGTCCACTGTAAAAAGTAACAAATAGGTCTTTTAAATTTAGCCAAAAAAGAACCATATTGTTTTTATAATTCAATTATTTAGTATTCCATCCACAATGTCTGAACTCTTGACTTTGTTCAAGGTGAATCCATTTTTTTTATTTCATTCAACCCAACCACCATCAGGGCTTGATAGTCGATACTTATTTTTACTTGATATCCTATCCTTTGAGTTATTGCCCTGGTCATGTTGAAGTGTACTTTGCACATATGAAATGTTGAGTGTATTAATTAAATCTTCTAATATGTATACAACACTAATTTCTAATTGTGAGGAAATTATAAGGTGGTGCAGATGAACCTCCTGGGCCACTTGGATACCAATGCCGCTTGTGCAAGAGGGATCTATCCTTCGCACCAGAAGGACCCATTTCGCAGCCATTTCCGCCACCTGTTTCGGCTGTTCTACCTTGCGGCCACACCTTTCATGATGACTGCTTGGAGAAAATAACTCCTAAAGACCAAGCAAAAGATCCTCCATGCATTCCCTGTGCCCTTGGTGACTAGGAATCCAGTCCTTTTCTTTTTGTTTCAATAAGCAATTGTAACTAGGTATAGAAGGCGAAACATAGAGATATAGAGAATTGGAGTAGAATAGATACAAGTTAATGTCCTGTATGAGGTTGTTATAACTGTCATCTTACATGGAGGGTAGATTGGTGAGGCAAATATAATGCTTGAGTGCCTCGGCCTTTTATATTTTTTCCCAAAAGAAAATATATGAAAACCTCAGTCCATATTGGAATTTGGTCCTTCTGGTTATTTCTACCTCTATAGATGTCTTTGGATCCTTTATAGTTCTAGAGGAGAAAATAACTCAATTTTAATCGATATGACCAATCTTATTTAAGTGGGTTGCTAAATCAGTTATTTTACCACGACATCTGAATTATTCCGATCAAATTTAGATGGCGTAGATTTTATAATATTTTTTATATTTTAAAATTATTTTAATTTTGAAAATGTACAGAATGTAGTGTAAAAGTAACCTCTGGAATGTCAATAGTTAAAAATTAATGATTGATAATAAAAATAGGGTTAATTAATCTACAAGTCCTTATAATTTCAACCAATTTTGAATCAGGTCCCTATAATTTTTTTTCTTTTTATCAAGTCCTTATACTTTTGCCTGTTTTTAATTAGGTCCTTGCATTTATTTTTCTTTTTAGCAAATCCTTATAAGTTTACCTTATTTTTAATTAAGTCCCTGAATTTTTTATTCTTTATTTTATAAATTCTAATAGTACTATTCTATAAACATAAAATAGTATATATTATTTAATATTAGTTTATAAACAATAATATTCTAGAAATAATGAATTATTATAATAATTTTATTTTTTTAACAAAAAAATTAATTGTTCCAAAAAAATTTCCTGAATTAATTATTTATATTACTTATTTTTATTATATAATTATTAATTTAATTTAATTATTAATATTTTATATTTCAGTATTAATCTATTTATTTAAGTTTATGTTTAATTAATAAATAAAAATTAAAACTACATGGACATATTAAAAATTTAGTGAAATTATAAGGACTTAATAAAAAGAGAAATAAATGCAAGGACCTAATTAAAAACAGGTAAAAGTATAAGGATTTAATAAAAAGAAAAAAAACTATAAGGATTTGATTCAAAATTAGTTAAAACTATAAGGACTTGCGGATTAATTAACCCATAAAAATAAAATGAAATAGACAAAAAATCTGGGTTGTAATAAAAAAATAATTCTGTATAGGTATTTAAACAATTAAATGTAATATTATTCAGAAACTGTAGAATAGAATTATTTAAACAATTATATAAATAACTATCATGATACTAGCATGAATAGTAAATATTATGATAGAGATGTGAATTTATATTGTGAACTCAAATGTAAATTTGTAAGAAATTATTTTTATTAATAAATTGATATTACAAGTATATAATTAAATAATTAAAATATAATAAATGACAACAATTTCATTTAAATATATTTTAAATTCAAATGATTAGAATTAAATCCATCAACCTTCATAATGTACCATATTCAATAAAATTTTTTTTATAAAATTAATAGATAAAGTTACTAAATTAAAAAATTTAACATAAATTTAAGAATAAGTTAACATGGTTTTGTAAATTAAAAACGATGAATTTAGTGAGTAAACTCATAAATTCAACTAAGTTTGCAACAAACACAAAGTAAATGGACACAATTTTGTAAAGTGTAAAACAAATAGGAATTTGACAACAACGCTGGCAAGATTTCACATCAGATACTCCCAACGCAGTCTTCTCGTATCATGTAAACTAATGCATAAAAGCATTATGCTTTGCCGTTAGCCATTGTTTTAGAAGAAAACAAAGAGAATAGCTCTGTGGCATATAATATTCTTCTCATTTTAAATATAAAATCAATTTTACTACTTTTGATCATAATTATACAAGTTAGTTGACTAATTTGAGAAAATTAAGGAAATAAATTAGTTATTTAGCATAAATATATATATATGTTGTCTTTCATAAATTATCCTTACTAATCAAGTGTATTAAGTAGAACTACCATTATTAGAAGGATTATCTTGGAAAAAATGTATAAATATGAGAGATAAAGTGGATTGAGTTCTTATATTTAGGATCAAATAAAAGTTAGATAAAATATTATATTAAAAATTAGAGGTAATATAATATAAATTATATTACAAAATGAGTTTTATATTTAGAACCGTAATAAAAAAAAGCATGGTTGGAGCAGGCTGTGGATTGCTATGAAACTGTTCTCAACAAGAATCCATTTGGGCAATTCGTTAACGTGGTGTTGGGGGAATCATGAAAAACGGCTAAGGAAAAAAAAAAAAAAAGTACTTTGACACAAATGTAAATCACATATCCATTCATATTTCTGTCGGCATTCTTCTTAAATGTAAATAAAAATATTTAAGTGAAACTGTGAGTGATGAAATCACACATTTGGCTGAAAATTCTTTTCGTATTAAATATTCTTTTATACATACTAAATAAATGTATTTCTTTTATTGAGAATTGATTTAACTTATTTTTAGAATATGAATCTATTCTAATTTTTCTGAGTAAAAATTTAGAACTTTAGATGGGGATGATTGAAAAATATCGTATTAATTTTTAAAAAATTCTATTTTTAATTTCAGTGGATATTCTGATATTGACAATCTTAATTTATTTTCTAAATTGAAGGTGTAGTTTTAACAGAAAAAAATCAATACTCCTACAAAAAGTTTAAACTATATCAGCGTCTTAGATTCTTTTCCAATTGCAGACATTACTTTGAGAATATTATTATTAACAATACCTATAAAAGTTGCTCCTGCTTGAAGAAGCTTTCCAAAATTAAAATTGATTAACAAGACCTATAAATCATGTTTAACACTAACTGTACTACAAGATAGATTGAACGGACATAAGGGTTTAACAAGACTAACTATTGAACGTGAACTGACAGAATTGTTTATGAGGGTTTAACAAGTAATCTCATTGCTCAAAAAACTCGAAAATAACATTATAATTGACAAGTAATATCACTTTTGCTTGAAAGTTCCTGTTTCGAAATTTTATTAGCCAGTAGGACCTGAATCCAAACACCAATGTTGTCTGTGTGCGATTCGCACACATAGTACCGATGCCTTCTTTTTGCGTATAAAAAGGCATCAAGTTCTCATGCTAGTAAAATTTTTAAACAACCATCTTTTTAACCAATTTTCCCTATCACTTTAGGCCCTTTGGTAATTTTGCCAAGAGCCCAAGAATTCCTGGACAGTGTATGTTGGGATGCTTCTAAGCTTGCTTTGATGGATCATCAATGCATCATCACTATCTAACTTGGTTACTAGAGTCTTCTTCTGAGATGTGAAGCAAAAACTGAGGCAGAGATGCTATTCTTGGAAGATCAAGAAGCTCCCCAACTGATTCCTTCCTGGGAAAGCCATTTCCCTGCTTATGGACAGAAGCATCACTTTGCAAACTACTTTTGCTTTGTGAGGCTAATGTAGAATTCATATCAATTACTTTCTCATCACTATGTGCTTCAAAACCTTTGTTGCTTGGTAATTGGCCTTGTGTTGTTGAAGGATAACTCTGAAGGAGGCTGCAAAATGAGTTGACCCTTGACCTGACCAACTGTTCATCAGGTGATTCAGTAAGTTCACAGTCACTGAACAAATATTGTGGAATTTACATAAAAACTGATCTTCTATTTTGGTTGGGAATGGATTTATTAGATGTCATCTGTTTTGAAATGTGATGTTCAATCTGGCTTACTAGTTCTGTCATGGATATAGATGGTTGAAGTCCAGGCAATTTTACATGGCTCAAATTGCTCAGAAATCTTGACGCATTAGCCTCTCTATTCCAGAATCCATTGGTTTCATGGGTGTTCTTAACTGCAAATGAAATAAAGCAACCTGAGTGCTGTTACACAGGGATATATGTAAGCAAAATTCACAGAAAAGTGAAGAGTAGATAATTGTTTATGTCATTAAGAACTGCATTTCATCTCCTTTTTTTACTCTTCAAAACATAAAGTACGATTGTGAACTAAACTTCACAGATCAGTAACCAGGTCAACTAAGAACTAAAATAAAGGTTCACTCATCATTTTACTTCATCTATCCTTCATTTTACTAACAATTTGCCTAGTAAAAACAAACAGAATTATCTTGACGATTCGAACGCTGTAATCTAAATGATGAAGTATTTTCCTGGATTTTCACTGCAGCAAATAGAAGCACTAAACTTGAAGCCAGGATTATCATCTCACCTGAGCTAGGTGAAGTGTCTGAGGAATTGTTTTCAACAGCTATACCCAGAAGATTATGTTCATATATTGAGGAAGATGAATGAACTGCAGATGCTGATTCTAAATCCTTCAAGCCAAAGAAACCGGCCTGGTCTTCACGTTTTCTATCAAAATCATCTCCAATTCTGGATTCAAAATATGGACAACCCAACACCATATTCGGCTGTTGACTTAAAAAGTTAAGACGATGATCACACTGAATGAGCTTCTCAAAATGCTTGCCTAAGAATCCTTGTGGGCATTGTAGAAAATGTTTCCTACAATAGTAATGATAGTGTATGAGTGTGAATTAAAAAAAAAAATGCGGTAGCAATGATACTCGGGTTGAAATTAAATCAGTTGCCTCTGGAAAAAGGTATGTTCGTTATGCTATGCAAAAGGTTATGTTTACATGTAAGTTCTTGAATCCTCTCTATAAAACCCATAACTACAGAGAGAAATTTCAGTTGAAAGTCACACTGACACAGTTAATTAGAGCCAATGTTAATCAACTAAGGCACACATTATTATATTATAATATAATCTTTCAATCCGTAGCCAGGACAGTGATGTCAAATTTATAGTCTAACAAAGACGACCATAAAGAGAGAGGGAAAAAAACAAAGACCAAAACCATTCTTCTCCGGGTCCATCCATGACAGTTTATCTGTATTTGCTTTCAGAATATTACTATTCATTTCAATGTATGTTTTTCCTTTATAGGTTTATTATGGAGAATATGTCATTTCATTCCGATGCAGCACACTTCTTAATCACACAAGGTAATGGAGTCAAAAGTAAAAATTGACAAGACAGATATCATGAATCTATTTCAATATACTTAATAGAAAATTTAGGAGTGACCAGTGAACCAGCTGGATGCCAATACATGAGTGCGGTTAGTACCTATGTATGCTAGCTTGTCCACCAGTAAAGTCTGATGTTGTCTGCCACAAGGTATGCTTCCTAGGTTGTGGATTGATCTCCTTAAAAAATAGGGGTCTTCTAGCCAGCTACGACAATCAGGAAACCAACTTAGCATGGGAAATTAAATAATAGTGGTGAAATGAAATATATCAGCAAGAGAGGCAGAGCAATGAAACTTTACCACTACTTCCAGTGTTCCGGGCCCATTCTCAGGGTAATTAGCATTAAGAGCCATGATATCAGACCAAGGAATTTCAATCTTACTCTTAAGACCACCATCAAGAACTTCCCATACGAGCTTGTGCTTCGCATAATAGCACTTTGCCACCAAATCTCCTTCATGTCTTGACTTGCACTGCAACCCATATATTTTAACTGAAAAGATAAGATTCTATATATATATATATATATATATATTGATTATGTTTTTGTTCATTATTGTTTCCGGAAGTTTTCATCCTACCTCCCAAGTCCCAATTCTTAAAATGGATGCAGGAAAGTTCGACGCCTTGAGCTTAGCATCCAACGCTGCCGTCGCTTTAATAACCTTGCGATCTTCCTCGTTTACATCCGCTATTCTGGAATTATCTTCTTTGGAGAGTCTCATTTGAATCAAATCCAAAAGCGACGGGCTCTTCCGGAGACGCAAACCCAGCGGGCTTGGCTCGTTGAGCGAATCGCATGAAGTCGGCGGAACCGGAACGAAGTCATGGTTCGAATTCCACTGTCGAAAAAAAGATGAAGAAAAAGGAAACAGAGATCAAGTCACAGTTCATCCCCAGTATAAAACAACTTGAAAATCTCACACACAACAACAATCTCATGAAGTTATGAAAATGACGAGTTTCAGAGAAATAGCATTAAAGCTCAGATTTTAGATTTAAACTCAGAGTATAATAGAAAATTAAAGAAAAATGAACAGAATTCAGACCTCGGGAGAAGAATTTAATTTGGGTCGCTTCCGAAGGGAGCCAAAAAGTTCTTCATTCCCAGAATCGTGAAGCTCCAACTCGAGCTTTTCAAAGGAGTAGTTGCTGGATTTCATGAACTGAACCATGAAGCTGCGCTGAAATTCAAGAAGTCGCAGAGCGAGAAGAACGTGGAAAACTAGCAGAGTTGGATAACGACGGAAAGCATGTATGATGAAACACACATATATACATAAAGAAGCTTTCTGTTGAAGCACTGTGGCTTGCAATGCCAGTGGCGGGCGCTTCAAAATAGAACGAGAGATTCCACGAGTTGTGAGTGCCACGTGGCAGGCGACGTGTCGGGAAATGAGAGTGGGAGGGAAGCCACGTCAGCGAGGACTGACAAATGCGGTCGGAGAGCGAAACGGTGAGGTTTCTGGCGGCGGGGGTGGCGGCATGGATAAAAAGGTGGGGCCCAGTGCATGAACCTCGTGAAGATGTATCTCTGCGCAAAAAGTTGCGTGATTGGCTCGCTTTACACGTGTAACATTTTGCTTATTGGATTAGACACGTAAGCTATTTGGTGGTCCCACGATCACAAGCTAGAAGAAGTGGCTTTGCACTTTACGGATTAAGGGGGCATTTAGAAAACTCTGCGATAATTTTTTTAAAAAAATTAATACTCCTCCGCTCCTTATTATAAGATCCAATTTGACTTTTTATTTGGTCCTAATTATAAGACCCAATCCATTTTCTCTCTTATATTTATACATTTTTTTCCAAGATAATCCTTCTAATAATGATAGTTTTAGCCAATATACTTAATTAGCAAGGATATTTTAGGAATAACAACACTTATTTATTATAAATAACCAACTTAACTTACTTCCTTAATCTCCTCAAATAAGTCAATTGGGTCTTATAATTAGGACCGGAGGAGTATAATTTTTGGTTATTTAAGTTTATCCTAATTTTAGTGTTGATTTTTTAAATTTTGAATCATGGGTTTTAGTTCTAAAAGATAAAATATTTCAAATTTTTATTAGATTATAAAGACTAATATTTTAAATAAAAAATTTGAGGGACTAAGGAATCAAAATTTATATTAACTCTAAAAAATACTTTTATATAACTTAAGATAAAAATATTTTTATATATTTATTTCTTATACTTTTGAAATTCTTTATTTTAAGGGATTTTTAGGATTATCAAACTGTCGTGAGGCCTGCTCGGAATGGTTCAAAACATCTTCCAATCCCTCCATGATGTCGCTGCGACTTTTTATTTTACCTTTTCTCTGTTGTGAACATGTGTGAAACAAAACACATTTTCACGTTATGCCCGTTCTCCTAAATTCTTAAATTGTTTAAATCAAATTCAAGCTGCTAAAATATGAAAAAATTAGGAATAAATCCCTTATTAAAAATTTAATTGGCAAATGGGGATCTAAGATAATTGATTTGCACAGGGAAGATTAGTTGCACACAAAGGATGATAAGTTGCATAAAAGGAAGATAGTTTGTACAAAACATTTTTAGATATAAGGAATTAGTTTGCACATAGGGAGATGACTTGCACATAAGATAATTTCATTTGCATAAAGAAAAATTGAGTTGTACATCACATAGAAGAAGATTATTTCATACAAGAAAAGATACATCGCATACAAGAAAAAATAAGTTATACATAAAAAAATTAGGTTGCACAAAATCTTTAGATCTCATTTGCCGATTAAATTTTTAATAGGAGATTTATCCCCAATTTTCCCCTAAAATATACTACTTTCGGTATTTAATATAAAAATAACTAATTTGAACAAATTAAAAAAATTAATTAAGTTAGTTATTTGTAATAAATATATGTTATTTTTTCTAAAATACTCTAGTTAATCACGTGTATTAAACATTTAACATGTGCATCTATTATGATGACCACCTTAAAAAAATAAATAAATATGAAAAAAAATTAGAGTCTTATATTTAAAATCAAATTTAATATCAAATTAGTTTTATATTAAAAGTAGAAGGTGGTAATATTTTTATAAAAGTATTATTATCAGTCTTAATCGAAATCCAATGGAATTGCTCAACAACTTCTCGTCAAAAAGAAAAAGAAAAAAGAAATGGTCAAGAACCTAAAAGGCTGATCTCACTTAGTGGGAAGACACTTATCTTGTTGGTGGCGGCCGCGGCGGCGTTGATGTTAACAGGATAACGGTGGCGGCGGATCAACAACTTAAAAATGAAGAAAGATAATACAGAATTAAATAGAAATATGAAACCGTGTCATTTAAAATATTTTAAAAAAATTTGTTTAGTACATATAGTCTTTATTCCCTTTCTATCCCATATGGAAAAAAGAATAATGATAATTGTGTAGTAATATATACTTTGGGAGAATTTATTTAAATCCCAGATATGGTACTGAGATTCTCAAATTTCAGTTTACTTATTGAAATGAAAGCCAATTCTCAATGAAAATTTACAAGTCCAAATTTAATAATCTGACAAGTTCGAATAAAAAAAATCACAAGTATTCATAGTTATGTTTATAAATGTACATACGCTTACTTTTTTATAACTAAGCATAGAAAAATAGTATGTATTCACATAAATTATAAGCCCAAATTTACATTCCAACCCAATTCATGTACTTGCAAACTCACACACCCAAATCAACCCCTCATGATTTTTTTTTTTAAATTTTACCTATGATCTTCTTTTATGCAATTTTGCTTTTGATTTTTGGCTGCAATCATTAGTAATATTACACTACTGAAAAATAGGGTACCGGGTGTACATTAAAAATAAGAAAAATTAGTAAAAATTTTCTATTTGAAATTTTAATTGGTCAGAAGGACATGAAATTGTGCAAGTACAAGTATGATCCGTGAGTGCAACATATCATCTATTGTGTGCAACACATCATCCGCTGCGTGTAATTGCACACAGCAGATGATATGTTGCACTCATGGATCATACTTATACTTACACAATTCAAATGCTTCTGGTCAATTAAAATTTTAAATGGGGATTTTTTACCAATTTTTTTTTTCAAAATAAGATAAGGAATAAATTACACATTTACCTTTTTATTTATAAGGCCCAATCTATTCATACAATCTGTTCATAGTAGGAGTGGCAGAGAAAAGACGTTTTGAATTTATTTTTTTTGCCAGAAAAGACGTCTTGATTGAGTAACCATAATTTTCAAATTTCAACCTGACCAGTGGGAATCTAATCAGAGACTAATGGCAATTATCCAATCACGCAACTTGTTCTCTTTTTATATTCTCAAACGTGAGGTGTATCCAACTCAGGGAAATTTTCGGCGCAAATTTGTCATGAATAAATAAAAGATAAGTTCCGTCACCATCTAATTAATCTTGTAGATTATTTATTGATAATATGTATTGATTTTTTTAAAATATATTCTTAAATCATCTTGCTGAAGCTATCTTTGATGATCTTAGAGTATGCTTGGGATGACGGTGGCAAAAGTATTTTTTTTTAATCTGACTTTTACAAAAATGAGATTGAATAAAAACAGCTTTTTTGAGCTTATTATATAAGTCTATTTCGATGACAGAAGTCAGATGTACAAAATGTGAATCCAAACATCATTTTTCAACCTACTTGTTACTTTTCCTGCTGGGATGCACGTTTTGGCCTCCAAACGTGATCCTAAACACGCCTTTAAATGTAAAATTTTAATTCATTTTATTTTTTATATTCCTCAATTTTTTAAATTAATTGATCTAATTTATAAATTCATATAATTTAAGGAAAAATCATTTTGCACTACCTAGAATTTCTTTCAAATTTTAATTTTGTATTTATACATATTTTTCTTGATTAAATCTTTTGACTTAACTCCACTACGAAATAGTGCCGTTAGTCCTTGTCACTTTATTTTATTAGCAGGCATGTGCTCTTTTGGCTTCTTGACCGGAGGTCCGGAGCTTGCAATTCTAGCGCAGTAAAGTTAAAGTATTTAATCAAGTAAAAACACATAGATATCAAATTAGAAATTGAAGCATAGATAACTGCAAAATGGCTTTTTTTTTTTAATGATCTAATATCATATTGGGCATTTTTGGGACATGATGTCAATAACGTTAGAATTAAGAGTAATATTTATCATGTGTTTGCGATATTAATTGATGGAAGAAGATTTTTTGCCAAAAGAATCCAACATCTAAAGCTACACATGAATAATGGGGGATAATTCTATTTTAAATCTTTTCACCAAAAAAAGAAATAATTATTCCAGAAGAAAGGTACTTTAAAGAAAATATTATTCCATTGTTTTTCATCAATGATTTCATTCTTTTTAAAAAGATTTTGACAAAAAATCAATGCTATGAAAGGCACATTTTCAAGGATATTGAATAGAATCCATCATTTTTACTCATTTGATCACGAGAATGGGATAAACTCTAATTTCTTCGATGTATCAATATGATGTTATTATTTAATAGCAAAGATTTATTTCTATTTATTTGTTTTCTATTTTTAAAATTATTTTATTCTGATAGCATGAAGTTTAAATAAGTTGAACTTTTAAAGACCTGTCAGAGGCTTAAGGCCCAACTGTTTTTGTGATAACAGTTATAGAATATATTTATTAGTTACTAATTGTCCACTAGCTAGATTTTTTAATTTGTAACATCCCAAAATTTATACCCAAACATAAACACAACTATTAAGCCAGTCCAGAAATTAATACTTATTATTCCAAAATACGGGAGACTCTAAACCACTAATCTTGCCATTAACTAAGAACTAAGAACTAAGAAAACAATCCTCGATCAAACGTTATTTTTGTTGGGTTGCATTTTTTCATTCTCATTCCTTTTGCAGTTTTTGCAGTTCCCTTCTCTCTATGGGGCATTAAAAGCTTGGATAGATGAAAGATGACCATGTAAGGATAGATGCTACCAGAGGCATTCACAAAAGCCACTTATTTGAAGTTTTTATGAAGTTAACGAATAGATGATCTTGAAATTTTGCTTGTAGATATAATGTCCTTGTTCTCCAAAATTGGTTGCATTATCAAGAAAAGCTTATAATCAGGAGAGTTCTAAAGATAGTTGATTATGCTCAATTCAAAAAGAAGAAGAAGAAAAAGAAGAAAGATAGCTGATTATGCAGTATAACGAATAGAAAATTATAATACCTCCGGTTTTTAATATAAGACTTTGTTTGACTTTTATTTTGATCCTAAATATAAGACCCCAATCCACTTTGTCTCTCAT